GTTTATAATTCGGTTAGATAGACAAGATAGAATTAATTTATAGATGACATTAATTTTATTTTATTTCTTTAAACACTCCCCTTTGATTGTTTTCTCCCTGTCTCTTTCTATTCTATTCCGCCCACCCCCCCCATTACTCAACATCGGTCTTATCTGATAGCTAAGCCCATTAATCCCTTCTCCCCTTCTTTGAATTTCTTCTTAAGGATGATAGCAGCCTAAATGGTAAATGTTGATCACTTTACTCATGGACACCTGATTTCAAGGGCACCCAATTCTCCTTTGGTGACTGTCCAGTATATTTTAAACAAGCACATCCATACAGAATTACTGCCCTGTATCTGAATAACAAGTAGCATGATTAATGAGACAATTCAAGAATAGTACTCTATTTCTTAAATGGGTATTGTGTTGTTGATACTAGGTATTGTCAAGTTGGTTCCTACCCCAAGCAATCCTATGGACAACAGAACAAAATACTTCCAGGTCCTGTGTCATCTTCCCAATTGTTCTTATGCTTGACTCCACTGTTGCAGCCACTGCTTCCATCCATCTTGTCAAGGGTCTCCCTCTTTTTTGCTGCCTCTCTATTTTACCAAGCATGATGTCCCTTTCCAGGGACTGATCTCCCCTGATAACATATACAAAGTGTCTGAGACAAAGTCGTGCCACCCTTGCTTCTAGAGAGCATTCTGGTTGTACTCATTCCAAGACAGACTGGTTTGTTCTTTTAGTAGTCCATGGTACTTTAAATATTCTTCTCCAGCACCATAACTCCAATGCATTGATTTATTTTATAGAAGCTAGACTATATGAGGGGGTACCCCCTCACCAAACCCCCCACCCCAGAAAAATACACCAGTGGGCGGAGCTTTCATAGTTCTTCACATTTTCCCCAATAGGTGAAAATCTAACAACTTGCTCTGAGTTGATGCATCCAGTGGTGTCTCCTGGGAAGGTTCTTTCTGGTTACAGTGAATTTTTTTCGTAAAAAGAGTTTCGCTCAAACCTTGTTTTTTTGTGATGTCTGATTTATGAGAACAGCTTACAGCTGTGAAATTTTGTTTCCTGCTTGGGCAAAATGCCACTGAAACTGTTGTGATGTTGTACACAGCTTACAAGGACAGCAGTATGTGGGAAAACTCAAATATGAGTGGTTTTCTAATTCAAAAAAGGCAAAATGTCAATGGATGACAAACCTCGTTCTGGGTATCTGTCAACTTCCTGAACGGACAAAAATATTGACAAAACTCATGCATTTGTGCTTGAAGACTGATGATGAACCATTGGAGAAATGGGGAAGTTATGTGGACTATCTTGGAGCTCAGTTCTGTGAATTTAACGGAATATCTAGGAATGAGAAGGATTTCTGTGGAATTTGTGCCTCGGGTTCTGACTAACCAGGAAAAAGAGTGTTGAGTGGAAACATGCCGTGCTTTGAAAGAACAGCTCCTAAGCCACCCCTCCAGGATCATTACTGGTGACAAGATATGGTGCTATGCTTATGACCCCAAAAGCAAACATCAGTCAAGCCAGTGGAAGATGCCATCATCACCTCACACCAAAAAAGTTCGTCAAGTGAAATAAAAGATTAAGATGATGCTCACTTTTTTGTTTTATGTGAAGGGGACTGCATTTGGATTTATGTAGAGGTCTCAAAAGGTTGCCTAACAGTGTGCCACAAAAAAGGCCTGATTTACAGCAGAGAGGGGACTGGTTTTGCCACCATGACAATGTACCTGCTCACACACCCATCTTAGTGCACCATCATTGGGCAAAAATCAATATGCCTCTCTTGACCCATGCACCTGACTCACCTGACCTTGCTCTGTGTGGCTTCTTTTTGTTTCCACAAATGCAGAGGGACATGGAAGGACAGTGATTTGTCGATGTAGAAGAGGGGGAAAAATGAGGGAGGTGCTGTAAGCCATCTAAATAGATGAGTTTGAAAAATGTTTCCAAGAATGGAATAGCAGATTTGACAAGTGTATTAAGTATAATGGAGAGTACTTTAAAGGTGACAAGGTTGTTTTATAAAAAAATTTAAAATACAGAACTTTGAAAAAAATTTGTATTTTGCGGTGGGGGACAGTACCCCTTGTATACCAGTATTTCTCAAAGTAAAACCATTTGAATCAGAATCAACCTGAACTGTTGTTAAAAGTGGTTATTTTGCAGACCTCATTGAATCAGAATATTTAAATGTTGTTGAGCTTGGGGAATTTTATTTTGAACAAGAAACCTAAATTGTTCCTGTGGTAAGGGAGGGACCTATAACTCCAGGAAACTTGGAGAATTGACCTTGCAGTTACCTTCCAGAAACTCAACTCATGATCCTGGAGTTGAGTCTGATTTGTAGTGGCTCTATGCAGAACCTCTGCGGCTGTTAATTTTTACAGCCTCATCATTCTCCCAAGGAGCTGCTAGTGGGTTTGAACCACCAACCTTGTGACTAGCAGTCCAAAGCTTACCCAACAGTGCCACTGATGAAGACAACTAAAACAAGTCACGTAATTTGAACAGTAAACTTCTCTCATCGCCTCCTACCCTTCCTTAATCCATTCTGAATATTGAGATGTGCTTTTCACCTCTGCCTTCACCTTCGCTTCCAGCTTACACAGAGCCTTAAGGTCAACCAGAGGTGAAATCTTAGACCTCGCTCCAGGCTTTCCTGAGCATATGCAAAGGCCTATGCCTGCGCGTGGCCTTCTAGATTACCAGGAATGTGTCCAAGCTTTTCAAAGCCTCCTTGGATATCTTATTCCCCAGACAGATTTTCCTTTTAAACCTTTTGGTTAGTCTATTTGCTATTCACCTCCTAAGGCAGTCATTGTGCTGAAATACTTGCCTGTCATTGTTTTCTTCATCCCTTGCTAAAAGGCTTTTTTCACACTTAGTTAGGTTTATGTTTAGTTATATAAGAACAGCTTTGTAAGCTAAGTATTCCAGGGAACCATCAGACAGTTCAAATGACACATTTTTGAGAATCAGGTTTTTAAAGAGGTACAGCTCTGTTCTTATCCTTCTGGGGGCTGCCAGAGTTCACAGAGAATACTCCAAGAAAAGAGAACAAAGCCCGCCCCCCGCCAAACTCAGTGCCATGTTGGTGACTGTATAAGAGAGTACACCTGTCCTTTTGAGTTTTTGAAGCTCTGCATCTTTATGGGAGCAGCAAGTCTCATCTATCTCCTGCAGAACTGCTGGTGTGTTTGAATGCTGACCTTGCAGTTGGCAGCCCAATGCAGAACCTACTATACGATACATGTTGTTATTCTTTATGCTTACTGCAGAACTTAGGAGTCCTGGTAACCCTGTGGGGTAATCATTGCCAACCCTAAGACAGTGAGTCCAAGCCATCAGCTGCTTCCATAAATAGGAAAAAAAGAAAAAGAAAAAAGAAAGAAAATGAACTGTCCGTGAGGAAGCTCAGACTTAATAGGCAAAGACTATAAAAATAAGTTTTGTAGGCTTTCACATATTTATCTTGATAGCTATGTAGCTGAGAGTTAGCAGGAGCTGCCTTGACTCTTCTACTATGATTTCTTTTGTTCAATATAGTTTTAAAAAACAATTTTGATCAAGGTGATATTTTAAAGATTAATAAAATCGTTGCTTATATCATTATCATTGTTATTTTTTGGATGAATTTTAACTGTGATTTTAAAAAGTTGATATTGAATTTTGTAGCTACGCTCACCTTTAATTTGGCCTAATAGTTTCTCAGTTAACTTTCTTGTTTTATTTTTTTCCAAATGTATGGTCATAAAATCTATTGATAGTGACATTTTGTTTTGTCCATTATTCTACTGATACTGCATATTATTATTTTTTTGTTATTGCATTGACTTTGATCTATCTTATATCCTATTATGAGATAAAATTCTTGGTACAGGAGTCTTTTACAGAGTTAAGTAAGTTTTTATTTATTTATTTATATTTATACTTTTTTCTCTCGTAAATGGATGCTGAATTTTATTGACTCTTTTTATGCATTTACTGAGGTGATTATAAGTATTAATACTGAATTACCTATGTACCTCTGGGGAAGAAAAGAAAACATTTTCAGCTTCAGTTAGATTATTTCTAAATATACTGCTTGTATTTTAAGTATTTTATTTGGGAATTTTGCATTGGTCTTCACAAGTGAGGTAAGCTATAGGATTTTTTTCTCGAAGTATTTTTATTCTTTTAACATCATTTTATAACCCACATAGAATGCATTGAGACATTTCTTGGGAGTAATTTTATTTTGAAATATTTCCATCACTCATCATTGAGACTTGTCAAAGGCAGTATTTTGTCATGTTTACTTCAATTGTTTATGTAAATAAATCATTTCAGATAGAGATGGGGCATTGCCTTTCCACAGTAGTTCCCTCATCTTCATAGCTGAACAGTAACCTAAATTTTGTGTTTTTCACTATGTTTGCATATTTCAGTGATTATTTATAAATCCATAAGAATATATTATTGCTTACTGACTTTCACACTTAGTGCCCAGGTATTATATTTATTAAGTAGCTATTAGATTAGTTAGTAAGTATATATTATTAAAATGTAGTCTCCAGAGTCTGACCATTTTGGTTTGAAATTTTCGATTTTAATTGTGTTTATCTATTTCTCCTTTCAGTTTGGTCAGTTTTTGTTTTATGTATTTTGAAGCCCTGTCATTAATACATACTGCTATATCTTATTATTATTCTGAAATTATCCTCTGCATTGTTTCAGAGTAAACATTAGATTTAATATTTCCCATTTGGCTTTTCAATCTGATTGCATATCTATTGATATCAACAATACCCATGAACTTGTCTAATGACTAGAAAAAATTATTGGATCTTTTGTTCTGTGTTTCCCATTTGTTACATTGATTAAATTATATTTCTTATACTGACTGGATCTTTGTTTCACAGAATAATGGGTCTCACTGATTTTTAAAATTGGCTTTATTTTCCTTTTTTTCCTTTTCTCCCTTCAAGGACGTTTCTTTAATGGGAAAAATGCAGTCGCACAAAACACCTCCAGCACAACCTGAGCAGGGATTACAGCCAACTATCGAGGAACCTCACCTGGTAAAGTATATAATGGAAATCCCCTTTACCAGCTGCAGATGGAGTCCCTGGGTAGTTCAGATGGTTAAGTACTCAGTTTGTAACTGAAAGGTTGGCAATGCGAATCCAGTCAGAGACATTTGTAAGAAAGGCCTGGCAAGTAACTCTAGCAAGTCCACAGCCATTGAAAACCCTATCCCTGGGGTTTCACTCTGAAACACATGGGGTTGCCAAGAGTTGGACGTGGCTCGATGGCAACTGACTTTTTCTTTTCAGATATTATCATGATAGTCTTTCTTTTGTTGTTTGAATATTTATCTACAGAGCATTTTCAGAAAATGCTCTCTCACTTGTTATTTCAGCTGTGCATTTAAATCCAAGCACATTTGACTCAATATCAATTGGGAATTCTGTTTTTTCTGACTCCCCACTGATGCCTACCTAGACCTTCTGAGTTAAAGAGGGAACTTCTTTTCATGTATGAAAAAATGAGCAACTCTTCTGGTCTAGAGAAGTTCATATTTGAAAAGTAGTTGGGGGCTTATGAAAATATTGTTAGCATCACCTTACCCTTTATTATTATTAGCACCACCTCGCCCTTTATTTAGTTAGAAGGATTGGTAAAAGTACAGACAAAGAAGGTAGAATTTTGTAAAGAAATGGACAGTGACAGAGTTTGTTTTAGAATTTAAACTCTATCCATCCATCATTGGCCAAATACTTGTGACAGTCAAAGGAACCTGAAACATATTCTGTGTGAGAGGGAGCTGTGTCCCTACATATGGGAACATCGCATTCAACCAGCGATGGCATGAAGATTAGTTCTTTATAATGGATTTGTGAAATGGTATCATGAAACAGCAAGCTCCTTTCATTCCTGAGAATAGGATCCTGCCTACATAAAAATTAGGATCACCCTTAATTTTAAGGAAAACGTGACATGTTAAAGAGTACAGAACCTTTCTTTCTTTCTTTTTTTTCTTACCTTTTCTTTTCACAACAGCCTTGGATACTATAATGTTAAAATTACTATCACTGGCTAAACTAATAGCATTTGAAATCCTTTTTGGTTGAAATTTGTCTTTTTACCCTTTGTAGCCCCATCCTCTGCCTATATCCCAGCAAAGATATCTGGAAAAATGTATTTTGTAGCCTTACCAAACACATAAACAAAAACAAATGAGCATCGGGTTTTTTGGGTACCCCCTCATGGATAAGGAAACACACATCAATTCACACATTTCTACGTGTGAAATTCAGTGACATTGATTACATTTCCCAAGTCGTACAGCCATTCCCACCTTCCTTGTCTTGAGTTGTTCTTCACCTAGGAACATCAACTCACTTCTCCCACAGGTAAGTTACAAGGAACATTCCTCACAGAACATCCTTTCTTAAGTGCTTCTCTATTTGAATAGACTGCCATAGCATGAAGAATGATCTCCTCATGTACTCATAATAAGTAAAACTTGAAGGAATTTCTTCTTAACCTTCTCCGATCATTTGCAGCCGGTCATTGTTTTAGACATGGCTGAAACACATAGCAAAAGACAGGGAAACTCGCGAGAGCCTGAGGTCAGGACACGGCCTTGTCTTGGTGTCTCACGGTTTCCCGGCTTTGACAGGATACAGCCTTACTTTTCTGTGGTCATGTGAGAGACGTTTGAGTTTTCCTTCTCTGACAGGTTTCCACCTTATGCAAGTTGTGACTTTCTCAGGTTTGGCCAGAACAATTTTTGTCCTTTAGGATCTTATTGTATTCACATATACGAGTACACCAAAAGGCAAATTGGAGTGCTGTGCAATAAATACTTTAATTGAGACTAATTACAGAGTAGAAAAAATTGAAATAATTTTATTTCATTTGTTTATTCATTCACTTATTAATAAATAATTGCACTGGGTTTGCAATGTGCTAAGATTGTGAGATATAAAAAGTAAATGAGACATTTAAAATTTTACAGGTGCTCAAACTTTTTGATCTCAGGGTCCCTTAACAGTATAAAACATTATTTTATGGGGGTAAAAGGAATTTTTGTGTTAAATTGTGCCAATTTGTGTGAAATTGTACCACATTTGAAATTAAACCAAAATTTAAAAATATGTATGAATTCCTTCCTTTATAATAAGTAATAAACCATAAAGTGCAGTGTAACACTTTTAATGAATAACTAGATTTTCCAAAATAAATAAATAAGTAATATGAGGAGTGGGATTGTCTTTCATTTTTTACAAATTGCTTTAGTAAGTGGTTGTCAGGAGCCCTGATGGTATAGTGGTTACACATTGGGATATGATCCACATGGTCAGCAGTTCAAAAGCTAGCAGCTGCATAGGAGAACGACTGGGCTTTCTACTCCCATAGTTACACTCTTGGAAACCCTTAAGGGGTCACTATGAGTCAGCATTGACTCGCTGGCAGTGAATTTCTTTCTTTTTTTTAGTATATGGTTGAGTACAGAGCTGAATTCTCATATCTGCTTCTGCATTTTATTGTTTGCAGTGCAAGCAGACCTCATTGTATGTCCTTCGCTTTAGTGCCATTTGCAGATACTGAGTTTTTGTTTTGTTTTTTACAAATTGAAGGCTTGTGGCAACTTTGATTCAAGAAAGTCTTGAATTCCATTTTTAAAAATAGCAACTGCTTCATGTCTCTGTGTCACATTTGGATGAAAATCTCACCATATGTCAGTCGTTCTCATAATCTTTTCTATTACACACTTAAAGGGCAACAGTATATGTAAACATAGCATATGTATTGGGAAACCAATAAAAATAATTGTGACTTGTCTTATTGATACATTAGCTTTATTGTGGTGCTCTGGAACCAAACTTGCAATATCTTCAGGGTATGCCTGCATGTTGTTTTGGTTGAAGAATTTTAAAGTAATCCTGACCTCACTCAGGTTCGGAAGAGAAATGTATTCTAATTGCCCTTTTACAGAATTATGGATACTCTTGCTTGTTAATACACCACGATTCCACAAGTTAGTTGCAATATAGAATCTGAAATCAGATAAATGAATATTTGTATATCATTACATTAAAGTTCACTAATCTACCTTGTATCTTTAATGAATTAATGAATCTTTTACCTGTGTATGACTTCATAACTCTGAGTTAGCATTTGAAAAGTTCTGGTGTACTGTCTTATCTACCATTGCCTTTCTGTTATGAACATAAATGTCAACACTGTAAAAAATGGCAAATATAAATATAATTTGACACTGCAAATTCCCAGAAATGATCTTGAGAACTCTCAAGTGTCTGCAGATCACATTCTGAAAACTATTAGCTAACTGAGTTGAAGGGTTCAATTATAGTTCTGTTACTTAGTGGGCTTTGACTATTTATTTAACATTTTAAGCTTCAGCTATTTTCCATCATGAAATGGGATTATAAACAGCTTCCAATTCATGAAGTTGAGGTGAAGTTTAAATTTAAGTGAGATAATGCTCAATATAAATTGATAAGTACAATTATGATGATGATTATTTAGAAAATCGTATTCCAGTGTAATCCATGCTAAAATAGTACTGGTGAACTGTCTTACCTACCATTACTTTTCCATAATTAATATAAATATCAAAACAGTAAGAAAGGGCCAATATAAATCAAGTTTTGACATTGTGGATCTCTTGAAAGGGCAGTGGTAAGATCAGAGAAGGCTTTGGGTAAAGGAGAGGTTGGGCAGGCTCCCGAAGACATGAACTAGGTGAATTGCAGCTGGAGAACCACAATGACCCTCTCCTCAGACTCATTTTTCTTTTTGTATTTTCTCTTGGATGATGGATTATATCTTCCTCTACTCAATCTCCTAATCCAGAACCCTGGGGGAAGGTGTGTTGAAGGAAGCTAGGAGAAAATGAAACTCAAAAAAAAAAAAAAAGAATTAATAGAAGTTATGGAACATAAAGTGAATAAGTGATAGGTAGGTGGTATAAGTCCATGGTCCATGACATGTATTATCCCAGCTTATCTACCCTGCCATTTTATTGAACATTTTATTTTATCATCTTCTTTTCTAGCCAATGAGGAAAGTGAAACAACAACAACAACAAGAAAATGTTAAATAACTAGACCAATGTCACTTATCTAGTAGTTGGCAGATCCAGGATTTCACTACAGTCCCAACTGACGCCAAAGTTCTTAATCTTTCCCATCCAGCAGTTTTATAAAAACATAAGATCATAATTAAAGTTTCATCTTACAAACTTTAAAGTTTTTGATTTAGCAAACCCTTCTTGCATAAAAGAACTATATTATGCTTATGATTTTTGGGGGTACCATCTGGCATCCTTACCATTTATTTTGCTTATTAGCAAATGAGTGTACCAAGAAACATAGTATGGAGTTCATACTTTTATATAAGTCAGATGGGTTTTTATAAATTGTAATAATTTGAGTCAGTAGGATTTTAACAGCCTCTGCTTTATAATACCAAATAATCTGGGTTTAAACTGGGTAATACCTGAATATGACCATAAGTGTACGTCACTAAGATCTGCCGAGATACAGTTATAACTCAGTGAACACAAAACAGATGGAGGAGTGTGCATTTGTGAGAGATTTTCAGCTACCCTGGGCATGTTGCTGGTGGTCTTCTCAAGGCCTGAGCCAGTACTTCAACTCTTCCCTCGAAACCGAGGTGAGATTGCTGTAGGAGAGATCCCAATTTTCACATCCAAAGAACTTCATGTTTGGAGAAGGCCTGGATGACTTGGTGGACCTAAGGATGCTAATAACCACACTGGAATACTGAAAATGAGAATATCCTAGCAATGTCATTTTCTTTAATGTGTGCTAGCCTTTACTCTGTGTGAGTGTAGGGTGGAGTCCAGGTACAAATCATAATCTTGCCTTTTTTCATAGGGTTTGTCATAATAACTGCAGGTTAGTTATCTCTTCTGGGGCAAGGGCCAAGGACAATAACTTGCTAGCTACAATTTTTCTGAAATAAAATTTGAGTATCTCTATCTAAGTCTTCAGTGGAAATTTATTGCCTCTAATTAATCTCAAACATGTCTTTTCCTATTTTGTTATAAACTAGGAAACATTCCCTGACTTAAAACTTTGGATGGTCCATTAAAAAGAGCATTTTTTTAAATGTTTTCTTTTTTCAGCAGAGTCACCTTGAAATACTTCCGGAACAAGTATCAAGTATTTTTCAGATTGAACAAGAGGATATATCAGAATGGGGGGTCTCAGAGGCCAGTAGCTTCATGTTAAAATCTCAGGAAGCTCCAGAAGTCCAGCAGACAGAGGAATCACATATCCGTTCAGAAGATGAACAGCCTGCAAGTGATTCAAGAGCACCCAAGAGGATCTCTCTCAAGGTAAAAATAAAATAAAATAAAAATAAGTTGGAAAGCATTATGACAGTTCAGAATATGCAGGTATGGGGAAATGGTTGAGGAAGCATGGGGTTGGAATGTTATCCGGAAAAAGTGAGCTTTGGAAGTGCAAGTTGCCCATTTTGGGAAAAGACAAATTTATTTTTTTGAGGGCTTTAGCTTTCAAACTGAAATATAACCCCGAAGAAGAAGTCACCTTAGAACTTTCAGAAAGACTCAGAGTCTTCCAGTTGCCATCTCAGGGGAGTCAGTGCCTTGGACTGTGTAAACTTTTAGCTATAATGATAATTTTCTCCTTTTTTAGGATTACCCTAATCCCTGTTTTATTTTGAGAGTATTTCCTAGATTCTTACTTTTTGTATCATTTAAAGAATTTTTTTAAACCATGCTTGCATATCACCTTACTATATTTACTGAATACTTTTCTCTAATTTTTATTTAAACAAGTAAATTAATTTAAAGAGAATTACATTATTTGAGGGAGAAAGATGGAGCTTTGTACTTCAAAAAAGCTCATGGAATAATTCCACTATCTTTCAATTCCACTTTCCTATGTGTGAAGCACCTTCACATTTAACTGTTACAAGATTTAAAGGTCAGTTATTATCCATGAACTTTAACCTATACTGGAATTTGAAGCCACGAAGTTAGTCTCTGATCAAAGATAAGGAACAATATACTCCGGTAAATCTGGTCAGATTCAAGGGGAATAAAAGGCCACCTGTGATTTAAGTCATGGAACTGACACAAAGTTGTGAACGAGAAATGCGGAACTTCAGCATCTCAGACTGATGTCAGGAGGTCTCATTTCACAAAACAGTAAAGAATTTACCAAATCCTTACTTTTATGACCATTTCTCCCTTGGAAGCTTATTAGCACAATAAAAGTCCTTGGTACTCTAATCTAAATCATGACCAATGAGAAAGAAATATTACTTAGACAGAAACAATGGTAGTCTGTAAAGAAATAGCTGGCACACTTAAGCCAGGTAGAGGATTATTGAACATTTTACGAGGGAAGATGTCAGTAAAAATTTACATATGATTAAATGACCTGAGATTCTAAAATGAAAGGAAGGTTAAGAGTTGTGGGAAGTCCCAAACCTCCCAAACTCTCACAAAACAATCATGAGTGATCTATTGCATTCAAGTTTTAAAACATACAAAAGATGAAAGAAGAAACACATATCCGTAGATAAATGTAAAAGTAGCATGTGGCTATAACAATAATGCTAAAAGGCTAAGATTCAGAATGGGTTGAGACCTGTGAATAATGCTAAGAACAAAACAGTATTTTCTGTGTTAGTTTTGGAGCAAAGAGAAAGAAAAGAAAAGATAACCCTGTCATTATGGATGAATAGTGTGATGAGAAGAGATGACAGAGTTGCCTTAATTTATTTTTGGAACAGGGTTGAGGTTTTAAATAAACAGAAATATGACAGAGAGAAAGGGAAGCTGGTAAACTCCTACTTTGCTCCCTTGAAATCTGACAAGGAGACGATCTTTCATTTAGAAAGAAGAGTAGGAGAATGGAGAAAAGAAAGTTGAAGCCCAAGATTGGTAAACGATTTTGAGCATTCAACCTATATGAGTTTAAGCCTGTTTTCTCAAACATACTGATTTCTGCAAATGAGACTGATGCTCTCCTGTCAGTGTCTTTGAAGAGCTGCTGCAATGGGAGTGGTGCTGGAAACTTGGAGACTGACAACTGCAGATATGCTTTCTTAAAGGATGGGCTGTTATTTCTGCAATCTATGCATTGATCTTGGACAAAATCCTACAATAATTAAATGAATAATTAAAAAAATAGTGAACCCTTGTAAAAGGAATCGATAATCACTAGTAGCCAGCAAGGGCAAGTCATGGAAGATTGACCTTGTTTATTTCCCTCAAGTTACTCCTCAGAAAAATGTTAGCTGTAGCATTCGACATAATCGTATCACAGCGAAGAGCACAGACTCTGGGGCCAGCATGCCGTTGTATGGGATCTGCCTACTAGTATGACTGTGGGCCAATTATTGCACATGCTGTCTGTGTCTGTAAAACGTCTCATGACAGTGCCTTCCTGATTTTGATGTTGTGAGGAGTACATGTGATTTGCAGTATAAAGTACTTAGAACACTGGTTAGCACAAAAGAGCTCTGTTAGCATTGGTTATTGTTATTATAATCTAGATTTCAGCAGTCCGCCTCTAAAAGCTTCTCAATGACAGTTTTGGAGACAGGATTGCAGTCAGGTGAACAATCAAGGGGATTTGCAATTAGTTATTAAAAAGATTCACTTTCATGGATGAAAAATGCTAGTTTTGTGCTAGAAAGTGGTGGTGTCCAATTCTTCATATTTCACAATAATTTGGATAAGAATATGGAAGATTCATTGATTCGATTTGCAGATAGCATCCACAATTTGATAGGTACAATTTGGTTGGTCAGATTTGAGATGAAATTTAATTGGGAAAAATGTATATATGATTCTACCTTTGGGTCCACATGCTAAACCCATGGTTTTGAGATCACAGAACTTAATAGTAATATGAGATGACATCAGAGTTTTAGATCATAATATAATTTTCAGATAGAAATACAAATGCAATCACAGGTTGCATTGATGAATGCCATAAAAGAGGGTCATCCTCTGGTTGACTGGAGCACACCACACCCAGACGTTGTATTTCCATCTGGAGGGTCTACTCCAGGAAGACCACTAATACATTGGAGACTGTTTGGAAGAGAGCATTCAAGATGACAAAGCATAATACTTCAAAAAATATGTCGGATGAGGCAGAGTTGAAGGGACCAAGCATGATTATCTGGGAGAAAAGGAAACCCAGGGGAGTTGACTCCATTTTTAAGATTTCACTTTCTTTCAAATGGAACAGAGCTAGGTTCTGCCTGTTTGGTTCCTGAGATTTGAGTTGAGATGAGTGGATAGTTGTTTGATCCAATAATGAAACAAAAACCTGTAACCGCTGAAAAAGCTTCAATAGGTAAGTGCTGCCTTTGGTTATATCCAAGTTCTATGTTACTGACAATGTTCAAGCCAGGTTGGATGATTAAGTGGAGAAAATTCAGGTATTATCTTGATGCTTAGGTAGAATCCTCTTTAGTTTTCTTGCTTCTTTACCCAAGAAGTTGCAAAAGCTCACTAGTTCTTGTATGAAGCCCAAACTTAACACTGAATGTGTAAGAACTCCTCTTACCTGATTTCTTCTGCTTATTGAATCATATATCTTTACTTTCCTCAAGAAATCCTTTCCTGCTTCCTTCCTTCTACTTAGTCTCAGAAAACACAGAGTAACTCATAGAGAAAAGTATCTTTAGATGAACCATTACCATGAAGGATGAACATTTTCTGGGAAAACAATATTATAAACACCTATGTTTTAAAAAGGTAATTACTTGTGAGACAAATGTATTTTCTTTTTCCTAAGAAGCAGTAATTGAATATAATAGAATGATAAGAAGTATAAATGTTAGAGTTGTAAGAGCCCCCAATAAAATGATCTTTTAATTAAAAAAAAGAAGTATAAATATTCAATATAGTTGTAAAAAGTATGAAAGTACTTTTTAGCTATGCTTGTCACCACAGTCCTGCCAAGCTTTTAAGAGACCAAGGGTAATTTATACTAAAGTACAATGAAGAAGAGAAATTTGGTAGAGGGAAATATTTCACATTTTCTTTTTAATATTTAAGCTACTAAGTTAAATATAATGATATTGTTATTTTATTAGTGTGAAGGTATATGTGTACATTTTAAAGAATAGATTTAGAGGAGTCTGTCCATTTGTCAGGAAGTGCCTGGGTGGCACAGATGGTTATGGACCACTAACCAAGAGGTAGACATTCCACTCCCAGCCAGAGGTACTCAGAAGACAAGGCTAAAAGTCACAGCCTTGAATATCCTATGAAGCAGTTCTGCTCTGCCCACGTGGGGGTCACCATCAGTGGGAATTGACTCAATAGCAATAAAACAACAATTTACTCTTCAGGATTTATATTCCGTTCAAAAATAGAAGCCTCTGAGACAGATCATTGGCTGGCTCTCATAACTTTCCTTACCTGCTTACTTTATATATTTATTTAAAGGTATCATCGTCAGAATTATTGCAAATCAAAGGACAAGAAGTTAAGCGAATGAGAAGAAGTAGATTTGGATTCCAACCACTGAGACCCAGAAAATGTTTAAAAGCTTCGAGGGATCCAAAATTAGTTAAAAAGTAACTTGCTTAAATTTATAAATTTTATTATCTGAAGTGAAGTCATTCAGTAGCATTGATATTAGAGAAGGAAGGAAAACTAAATGTTTGGCAATTGAGTCATAGATCTAAGTTAAGTGCTGTCACAGGCGAAGTTGGTGCAGATTTGCTGTTTGTGTATATATGCTACACTCCGTGCTGCCTCCGCGTTCTGTTTTTGCACGAGGATCTTACTTGGAGGACCCAACAGCAGGGAAAAGGAAAATAGATGGAATAAAATGGAATATTGTCATGTTGGAATAGATATTTTTGGTCATGATAAAGTCTATTTGGTTTAACTACTTGTTATTTTGGTTAATTTTGTTGGGGCAAGAATAAATGACAAACCAACACAAAATGACTGTAGGCCAATCAATTTGGTAATTTAAATGACTTAGGTTTCTCTGCTATCATTTTATAATTCATCACCCCCCACCCTTTTTATCAGAGTTGCCTTTTACACAGGAGTAAAGCCACAGCTTACCGTGTACGCACAATTTATATTATGCTTGTCCTTTTGTCCTTCAACTTGCTGGAATGGATTTTCTCCTATTTCCCCCCCAGTACATTTTTATGACTTGGTTTCTTCTGGAATCGTCTTCATTTAGCTCTTTATGGAGGTTTAAAGAAGCTTTAATTATTAGCTCTTGTTGTTGCTTAGGGCATTGAAAGGTGTGCTGAACATGGAAGACCATCTTTTTTATGGCCAACCTAGAGTTTGTAAATGGATATTACTCACAATTAAGTAGCTGAGAATAGACTCATGGGAAAAGAATTCCAAAGTTTATGAAACCGTCAAATTGGCATTTAAGTGACCCTGCACATGCCATTGCTTATCTGCCCTGCTTTAAGCTCAGTTAGTTAGCGAGATTATGTATTAAAACAAATAGTGACAGCAGACAACAAGTATTTTACCTTCAATAAATAGTTACTGTCAGATTATCAATGGTGCAGAAACATCTTGATTCCCCCACCCCCTAAAAAACCTTGCATTTTAGTGCATTAAGTAAAGTAGCATGACCACACACAGAGTCAGAGTCTTTTCTTTTTGATGTCAGTGTTTCAAAGAATGACAAATAGTCCTGTTAAAGGGGAGCGCGCTATAAAAACACACAGTCTTTTCGGAACATGCCAAAAATATTTGTAGATCTTCTTGATATAAGTGGAACTGTTTTAATTCATTAAAAATGAAATTAGAAATTTCTATTTCACATAAGTAAGAATGAGATGGAGAAGAATAAAACCTTAACTTTAGAAAATGTCTGTGATGAAAGAATTTGGGGAAAAGATTTCTGAAATTCCTTGTATAAGAACTTTGTTTTTCTTTGATCAATGTTTTACCTAAGTTTTCTCACCAGTTACGAATGAGCCTCTGAATTAAATTTTCAGGAGAATCCAGCCATCTATTGAACATATATTATTGTTTAGCTCAATAGCCAAGGGAAAGTCACTTGTTGATCTATATTATTGGGGTACATAGGAATTCACATAGGAATTGGTTGTAGTAATGCCTTCTTCAAGAGGAAATAAAAGTCTGAAGTGTAGTCTCAAGTACAGTCCATAATCAGGACCTTGTCGCAGGTTGAATGATGATATAGGTGAGCTTCTCTTAATTGTTTTCATTCTTTAGCCTTTTCCCCAAGAACACAGAAATACAAGGGTGTTCTGGTTGCCTGGCCACTACTTCCCCTCCTCAAGTCAGGTCTGTGTGTCTCAGGCATTTTCCAGTGTGTTAGTTCTAGCCCCACCCCTTCTGTCCCTTATGAACAGATTTCATCCCCTTTCCTTGTTGGCATTAGTTTGTGTGCCTAGCAATGAATTGGGTGCTTTGTTATGCTAATTAGTAACAACAACAATAAATATAAAAATAAATCATTCTTGGAGAGGCTTCCAGGGACCAATTTGGATATTTTGTCAATTCTTATAAAGACAAGAGTTAGGGTTAGTTATTCTCATTTTACAGAAAACCTTCCGATGAGGCTCACTCTCTGGCATAGAATACATTCCAACTCATAGAGACCCAATAGGACAGAACTGAATGACCCCTGGGGGGTTCCTGCGCCTGGAAACCTCTACAGGAGTAGAAAGCCTCATCCTCCCATGGAGCAGTTGGCGGTTTCAATCTGCAGACGTTGTGATTCGCAGCCTAACACATAACCTACATTGCCACGAGGGCTCCTTTCAGAGAATAATACAGTTTTTAAGTGTTAGAACCAAGATTCTAATCCAGATCCAGCTTACTCCAAAGTCTATCTTTTTTATACTATGCTACAGCCCAGGTACATGGAACATAAACTGGCTAGGCTAGCAGTACATAATTCGATACAGAGCCCAATGGGTGACACACAAATAGAGCAACAGAAGAAAACAAATATCTGTAAAAAGAGAAACAAAAAGAAAACGATCAGAGAAGTTTGCTTATGAGATAGTATGAGAGGTTTGGCAGAGGACAGAGGACAGAGGATGGGCAGCATTCTACCAATAGTAAAAAGAACTGACAAGTCTTTCTTGCTCTGTGATTTGACCTAGAAACGGATAATAAGAAAAATAACTAATATATGTCATAAACATATAAATATAAATTCACTCACTCCTTTCTTTTTAAAAGAAACTTTATTTAGGATACACCAATATTATTCCCAACTTACTGAAGAAGTAATTGAGGTATACAGAAATTAATTATCTCACTTAAGACAATGAAATGATATAGACTGGGATTTGAACCCAGGCAGTCTGACTCTAGAGTCTGAATTCTTAGCCAGTATGCTAAGTTTGAGAGAGATGCTAGGAATTTGAGACAGAGCAGGGAATGGATGCAGTAAGTAAAATAGAACCATGGTGCTGTGTAAAGCAGTATTCAAAGAGGGTAATCTGGTGGCAGTTTACAGGGCAGATTGAACCAGTTAAGAGAGAACATAGAGTGTCAAATCAGACAGAAAGCTCCTTATTAAGGTAGATTGAGGTGGTGCCCATGGTTGGCGTGTGGTGGTGAAGATGGAGAACAAGCATTCATGAGTGACAGTGGATAGACTGGTAAAGGAGAGAAGATTCGTGATGGCTTCAATGTTTGATACCTTGATGACGGGGATCTAGAAGAGATGGTGATACTGGAGATGATGTTTGAATGCTCTCCGCACAAAGGGAATAGTTGAAGCAATGGAAATGGGCTTTCCAGTGTAGGAGAGAAGATTGAGCCTTGAAAGCTACACTTGGTTTTGAAAACTGGTGGAAAAAACAAGCAACCCAGTGACTTAGTAAAAGTGTGATTAGTTTGAGAGGTAGATGGAAAGGTGAGATAGTGCAGGCTTGAAAAAACACACACGTAAAAAAGAACAGTTTGAAGAAGGAGTCATCGGTATTTTCAGCCATGTCGTGGAGGTCCTAGAGAGCATGGAAGACGGTCGTTTGGTTAATGCAAGGGCATAATGACACAGGAAAGTGAGGAAGGAGTCTAAGTGAATAAGAGACACTTTCTTCTCAAACTCCTCAAATCTAAACCCACTGTCATCGAGTTGATCTGATTCATAACAGCCTTAAAAAGCAGCGTACACTGGCTAGGCTAACATTACCTAATTCGATACAGAGCCCAAATGGGTGACACACAAATAGGGCAAATAAGAAAACAAATAGTTTCCAAGGCTGTAAATCTGCTTACAGAAGCAGACTGCCACACCTTTTCCTCATGGAGTAACTGGTAATTTTGAACCAAAGACCTTTTAGTTTGGAGCAGAGTGCTTAACCACTGTGCTACCAGGGCTCCTATTTCGTTGCAGGAATCATTAATAGACACGGATAGAAAAGAATTATATTATATTATATATATTATATTCCACATTATGTTTCTGAGTTACCCATTTCTTGATGCCATCTAAAATAAGGTTAATAATACTTTCCATATTGATTCATTGTGACAGCTAAAGTGTATAAAGTTCCTAGTACAGAATCTGGCACATAGTAAGTGCTCAGTAAATGTTGATTGAATGGCAAGTGGCACTAGGAATTAAGAGAGCAAATCTTCAGGTCACTTTCTTTATTTTGGAAAGATTGGAGAGACGAGCTCCAATATAAGGAGTAATTTAAGGAGTAACAGGTCCATTGAGGCTCGTTAGAGGGCAGTGAATCATTGCCCCACTTCTTCAGGGGTATAAGCAGAGGAGCAGGGCATCATGTCTGGTTATGGCATCTCCAACTCAGTTAAAGTTACAGGAAGTAACAGTTACCAGAGAATACGACCTTTAGGGGAGATGGTAGTAACTTTGTTTTTAGACTGGTTGACTCTGAGATATCTGTGAGACTGCTTAGTTGAGGCATTCATCAAAGCAGCTGGATTGATGAGTTTGAAATTTGAGACAGTGGCCTTGGATTATGATATTAAATTTGTTATAAACAATTACTATAGTTCTACATCTGGTCTACCATTGGGCATCCTTTCTAGAGCTTGAGTTTAACTGTTGATATAAACTACATAAATGTGTTCTGTGTCTTAAGTAAAAGCTCACTTCTTTTCCACCTTGCAGAAGTCCACATGACTACCACCCCTCTAAGCTTCATGACTTGTGCACGGTTGTCCCAGCCCGCACACTGCCCGTTGACTTGTGCCTGGCTTCTCGGGTGTGTCATACCACTGACAAAAAAGGCCACGATACTGTACCTGGAACATTTTTCCTAGATAATCACTATACAGATGAAGAGCAAAGAGCTAGGTAAGAGTTCCTCAGGTAATTTAGTTTAGATTTAAGCTGTCAAATAAATTATGTCTTTGAGGTTTTGATTTTAAAGGGAATTCTGTTTTAAGACAATAGAGAGGAGCAATTTTTTTGTTCTTTTCCATCCCTTTAATTTCAAACAGAAGTGATCTTTGACCAGAGCTAACCCATATGTACTGGTTTATAGTTTCTAAAGTGTTTCACATACATGATCTTAATTGTTCTATACATATATATACATGTATACATGTATACATCTTACGGTGTATAGATGTGGAGTCTTAGGCCCAAAAAGGCAAATCCATGTTTATACAACCAGAAAAGTTACAGACTTGGGAATCCAGTCTTTTGAATCTCATTTCACCATATTGAACATTCTTGGGTTCTGGGATCCTTTTAAAAAGAATATTAATCTCATTACTATTGCATGCAAATAAAATTGTGCTGAAGATAATTTTTAAAAATGGGTGCAGTAGTATATCAACAGGAAATTGCCCCAAATTCGGGTTGGATTCAAAGAGGACATGAAATGTGAGCTATTTGCTGATGCTGGAAGGATCTTGGCTAAAAGCAGAGAGTACCAGTAATATGTTTACCCGTGTTAATTGAAAATAGAATAGTCATCTGAATGTGTAGGTCTGAACACATTATGGGTAACATTGTGAAGAAAGAGATTTTCATAACAGTTAATTGTGCTCATGTGAAATCAGTATGTGATAGATAAGGTTTTGTGTCAGCTTGGCTGTGTCAATGTTCTCATTAGTTTGTCAGTTAAGACATAGTACTCTCCCATGTTAAGATATAATATAGTGTAATCAACTCCATGAGGAGGTATGCTTTGAGGAGCCAATCAACTGAAAGGAAGTTTCCTTGGGGGTGTGACCCACTTCTGATATATGTCGACACTGTCAGAAATATTGCTTGCTTTTTTGCTTTGTCTGCATCTGGATTGTTGTTTGACCACATGTTCTTTGGATGTTGACCTACTATATTGCCTACCCATCCTAGGAGTCATCAGCAGCCTGGGTTCATTTACCTCTGCAGCCAAAATCCTTCTGTCTGACCTGCCAATCATGGGTTAATAAACCCCTGCAGCTAGCGAGTCAAGAGAAGCCACGAGCCTGACATTTGACCTATGGACTGGGAACTTGTCCACCTTTACCATAGCCATGTCCTCACTATAAACCTCTCCAGATATATACATATATTAGCTTTACTGTTTTTTTATTTTCTAGAGAACCCAGAGTAAGACACTGCACAGACCAAGAGGCAGTCATCAAACAGAACAAGGGAATACTCACTCACTCACTCACTCACAAACTCACTCACTCACAAACTCACTCACTCACTCACTCATTCACTCACAAGCTCACTCACTCGCTCACTCACTCACAAACTCACTCACTCATTCACTCACAAACTCACTCACTCACTCACTCACTCACAAATTGACTCACTCACTCACAAACTAACTAACTCACTCACTCACTCACTCACTCACTGCCACTGAGTCAATACTGACTCACAGCAACCTTATAGTACAGATTAGAATTGCCCCTGTGAGTAACTGTTTATGGGAGTAGAGGGCCCCAACTTTCTCCCAAAGGGATATTTTATAGTTAAAATCAGAAGAGGGATGTGCTAAAGTTGTATCTTTCACCATATTTATGCAATCTGTATATGAGCAAATATTCTGAAAAGCAGGGTAATATAGATAATAATGGGTCATCAGGATTGGAAGAAGATGTAATTAATGACCTGTGATATGTAGATAATACAACCTCACTTGATAAAAGTGAAGAAAACAAACAAAGTTAAGAAAACTTGAAGCCCTTTTGATGAAAATCAAAGACTACAGTCTTCAGTATGGATTCCACCTAACATGAAGAAGAGAAAAATCTTCACAGCTGTCCCAGTAAGCAGAGCCGCTGATGGTGGAGTGGTTCCCTGGGGTGGAGTGGTTAACCTGCTGTTAAGCACCAGGTCCTCAGTGTGGGACCACCAGCCACTTCCTTCCAGAGAAAGCCAAGGCTTTCCACTCTCCCAGAGAATTACAGCCTCAGAAACCCGCCGGGGCAGTTCTGCTCTGTCTTACAGGGTCGTTGTGCATTGGAATTGACTTGATGGCAATGAGAGAAAATACCTATAAGAAATATGATAGATGGAGGAATTTTCGCAGTATTTATTTCATTCAAATGGAGGAATTGTGACGTATTTATTTCACTCAAATGATACATTAGGAAAATCTGCCGTGAGAGACCTCTTGAACATCTTCAAAAGTAAAGATGCACTTGGTAGTTCCAGTTGCCTCGCAGGCATGCAAGCATACAACGAGGAAGGAGACTTGCCACATTTGCATTGAGTGTTTGGTGGTGGAGGATAGTGAATGCACCAGGACTGCCAGAAGAAGCAGCCACTGTGTCTCGAAGAAGTACAGCTAAATGCTCCTGAAAAGTGAGCATGGTGAGACTTTGTCTCGTGTACTTTCAATAGTTTATTAGGCAGGACCAGTCACTGGCAAAGGATATCACACTTGGCAAAGTAGAGGATTGGGGAGAAAGAGGAAGACCCTCAATTGAGAGACATTGTCAACCCCAGGTTCATAGAGAGCCCATGGTGAGGGTGGGGCAGGGCTGTGAAGCATCTTACTCTTCGTACAGAGTCACTGTGAGTGGGACCCAACTCGGTGGGACCTAACAAAAAGGACAACATAGTTTTAGCGTGTGTTTTGTCCTTTGTATTTTTCCTCTCTAAATAGTCAATAGTACGGGAGAAGTCACAAATTTCATTTTATTTTCTGCAGCAATTGAGGCCCCATAAGATCACTGAATGTGTCCTCGATTCTATCTTCATATACTGGTTAGATTTGTCCAGCCTGGATTTTCTCAACTTTTTTTCATTATTACGTCTTTCAAGATATCCTTTTAGATCTTCCCCCCTTACTGACCCCTTCTCATGAAATTTTAATACCATTGATAGTTAGCAGACCTGTCTATGTACTGTGAGTACATTGGTGCTTTCCAGATGAAAGACCAAGTATGTTTTTTCACCTTCAGAAACTAATTTTGATGCTCTGGGGACTATGTTACCTCCCTGTTGAGAGCGCACGCTCCTAGAGCTCTTCTCTTTTTGTTGAGTTTGTAGGAAGTGTGAAAATTATCTACACGCTCTAAGCATATTAAACACATCAGGTATTTACTTTAAATAGAAACTTGAGATAGTTGAACAGTTTTAGACTTGTGATCATTTGTTTTCAGAAATCATTTTAAGTTATACTAATTATTATAAATTTATTAGCAACGTGCCCATATTTTGTGGTATATTGAACCTATTCCTTAAAATTGGTTTTTAGTAAAAATTGGAATACGTTACTACATTCTTTTAGTTTAAAATCACCCAATTTCCCAGTGTTTTGTGGTTACAATGCATTTAAATCTGAATCCCTAAGATAAAGTCTTTCTCATGTTTATATTTTGATTTAAGTGAAGAGGCATTTTAGGATTTGTACATTTAAAAAATACTTCCTTTTATTAAGTCGATGCTCACTATAGTTTTGGAAAAATCCTATGTGGAGAATTTTAGAAAATTTGATACTGATTTAGTATCTTCAGTAGAAAGACAGTTGTTCCACATGACAATCTCTGGAATGCCTTTTAAAAGCCTACAGCTAGGAGTGACAAATCATGACATAGCTTAATCTCTGAGTCATGAAATGATGTTTTGAGCCATTTCTGTCAGCACTCTGCAAGCCAAGTATTGTTTTGAACACTTAAATCTTCTATGATTCATGCAAAGTGTTAAAAATACTGGTTTCTTTCTATTTCTAACTTTTTTCCCCTTTAAACAGACTTCACTTTCTTTCCCCAAGAAAGTCAATAAACGTTCTATTTGATGATGATAACTCTTGGCAATTTGTTCCTAAGTACCAAATAAGAAGTTAATTTAAGTACTGAATATTTAATTCTCTGGCATCTATCTCTAGAGGATTACCTTGCTAAACATAGCTTAACCTTTTCAAAATATATCTGTCTCCTGAGACTACAAGTTCAGAGAAATGGATTTTTTTTCTGCACTAATAAGTATTCTTAAGAATGATTATTGTAAACACAAAGTGAATACTCTTTCATTTGGTAGCTTTCTGGTTTTTGCATGTGCAATGGACAATTATCTACAAAGCATAATAAAAACTTGTGGTTATATAGTTTCAATGCTTTCATAATCATTTGTTTAATGATTATTATTTGTGGCATACCCCAAGAATGTTTTAGTGGAATTGGAAGGGTATGTACTTAAGTTTATTTGAAAAACCAATATACTTTTAAAACTTCTGTTTATTTTAATAAATAGTAATTTTGATTGAGAACTATCAAAATATTCCACATAGACCACATTTTTGCTTTCAAAAATAATTCCTGAATTTTTTAGGGATGCTTGCAGACAGTTTTTAGTTGGAATACTTCACACTGAATTTCTGGTTTTAAAATAGGAGAAATCCTTAAAAGCTGGAAGAGTTTGGGAACAGACTCCTAGACATATTTGTATATGTACATGCCTAAACTACATATGATATTTTATATTCTTCACTCAATGTATGTGTGGACTCAGTGTATTAGATTATTTCATGGCATTCACAAATCCACAAGAGTAAAATTATTGATTCAAATGTTTTGATTATAAATTTTGATGCATACTGCTGGATGACTTTTTAGAAAAGTTACACTGGTTTATATTCACCATCACCTATGACATTCTTCACTTCCTTATACCATTAACAAACTACTACTTGTCATATTTTTGATAATTTATAATATGAAAGGGAAATTTTAATTTTATGTATTTCTCATAAGGTTGAACACATTTTATTTAATATATTATTATTATTAATTTTGGGTGAGCATATTTTAAAATTTCTCCTGAATATTTGATTTTCATCCTTTTGAGAATTGCCAATTTGCATTTTGAGGAGTCGTTATTCATCTCTTATTGATTTGTAAATA